GTAGGATTACATGCACTTGGTATTCATGTTTGTCGAGCTACAGGACAGGAGCTGGTATTTGTTTATAAATTTGTCACTGTTACGCATGGCTGGATAACTATACATGATGAGTCAGTTGAAAGATTTTTGAATTTGAAAGTGCTTTTATGGTGCTATAAGTAATATGTGGAGATGAAAGATTGCTTGACTGAGTAACATGCGATACTTCTACCCTTTTCAGTCATGTGAACTACTGGGAGATCATTTTTTTTGCACCGGTAACCTCTTTGGTCAAATCTTTAAGTGCGTTGTCACCTTTGTAGTTACTTTTTGTCCTTTAATCATCTTCTCCTCCACCAATGTTATAGTTTGTCAAGTGTCTGATAAAACGGTTGATTTTTTGCGTGATTTTTGTTCTCACTTGACAATAGATACTAATTGGATTTTAAATGAGGATGCTGAAATTTAAATCCTCTGTTCCCTGCTGTTGGTTCAATAACATATTCTATGAGATTACTCAGAATACAAGCTGTCACTTGTAATATTAGAATTCAATTTTTGACTCTATGTGAATGTTTATATAAGTTGCCTGTCAGTTTTTAAACCATAATTTTCTCTCAATAAGTGTCAATGTAATCAGTAAGCTGTATATTAATAGATGCAACCTATTCATAAAAAGAATATTTGTCTTTTCAGTAAAGATTAAACCTGTACCAGGCGTTTGTGTTATCTCCACTGATACCATCCAATTCTTTTTGAGCCTTTCCTCTTCTGTTGTCAAGGTAGATGGATACTTCTTCTAGAATTTCCAAGATAAGAAGCCGTGAGCGTGAGAGTCTTCGTGGGCCCCCTTGGCTAAAGGTACATGTTTATCTTTTTTATTTAGCATCTATATCATACTTGTCTGTACTTTCTCAAATGGTTAGAGTAGTTAATCACGTTTGTAGAATATCAATAATTCCTATAGTACCTGCAATTGCTTGTTTAAAGTTTGTGCAATACCCATATACTTGCCAAGGTCGTGTCTGTATCAAATCGACCCATTAATGGGCAATAGCTCAAGAACAGTTTAATTAGCGAGGTGTCTTGGGTTTTTATAAGTTGCTTTAAATGGCCAACTCTTAATGGACATATAACGAGGATGGAGGTAAAAACGGTTTGACTTGACATCAAGTGATTGAGGACATCTACTTGTCCTCCCTTGAATTTCTTTGTTCTATTCACTCCTCCCAAAATAGAAAAATATTATAGTTGCTGTATTTTGTTATTTAGGTTCTTACCCTCAAAGAGTTATTTGTAAAATATCTCAGGCATTACAAGGTGGATTGCTCAGCTGTGCATATGCAGTTCTTGACTATGCTCAGAACGGTCTGATTGCAGCAGTGTTTTTCTTTAAAGTGAGTTTCCTTCAACCGAATGCAATGTTTACTCCCATGATATTATGTGTGGAGTTGTGATTGCTATGTATGTTGGGTTGGCATTTGCTTGCCTTTTGTAACTTGTTTAGTTTACGCCGTTAAGTTATTTGCACCTTAAGACCTAACTATGTGTTCTGCTTTTGCACGCGTGCCCTCAAAATGGCTGAATCTTATTACTTTTGTTTAGTGATTTTTGGATTTTCTTCACTTGGAAAGTTCTCATCTGCTTAGGCTTTTTCATATGATCTAACTAGAGGGAATAAGAAGAACCATTGAGACTGGAATGTTGTAATCTCACACCATCTTCTACTACTGTTTTCCCCATTTGGGTTTTTTCTTTTGATTTTGAGTATCCGTAATTATTTATCATGAGTTTGCAGATGATGGAGTGGTGGTACCAATCTGCGGAAGAAAGAATGTCTGCTCCGTCTGTCTATCCACCTCCACATCCTCCGCCACCGCCAAAGGTGATTTGTTTTACATATGTTTAAAATTAGGGATCTTAGTCTTGGCAATAATTGACATGTTTGATTCTTATTCTTCAAGTTCATAATTTTACTCTTTAGGCTACTCGCGGAAGCTTTTATTCAGAAGAAGTTCCTTAGTTAATTTAAATGTAATCAACTTGATGAAGGAAAGTGAACTCACTCTTCTTTGTCCAAGTAATTTAGATCGCCCTGCTATTTTTGAACCCTATTTGGTTTGCTGGGAAAGGAATTTGGTGATGTAATCAGATAGCACAAATCATATTCTTATTTTTGGTATTTTATTGGGAATAGTGGCACTATATAGTTGGAATCTAAATTTTCATGTTCTTTTAATTCCATGTCCTGAGAATGAAACATAGAAATATGAATGCTCCTGTCCTTGTCATTATCCACATGTGAGCGTGTACATAGATGCTTTTTTTTTCTCGCTTTTGGGATCTAAACAAGTTCTTATTTTATTGATGCACATGTTCATATTTCTATATACATGTCAATGGCATCCACGATTTTTGGTTTTGAATATCTGAAACTATGATATGGGAAGAGTTAAAACTTGGGCCTTGGGGGTTTGGGGGGGAAGTTGTCACTAATGTTCAATTTCTAATTGGACTATCTCCCCCTTTTACCCCTAAAATTGAAAAGAGAAGGAAAATTAGTTACCTCGTATATTGCAGTACTTGTATTTGATTACTTGTAGCCCACATGGATCTGAGTTTCTTGCATGAATTCAATTCAGTTCCTGGCACAATTTTGCCAGTTGATATGCTATGCTGCAATATTTACTCCTAAGTCTTGCAATGAGATTTATGTTTTATAGAAAACAATGCAAGGAGAACCGGCAATTGGTTTCAACATGGTTATGGAGAGTTTGAATGCTTGAGATAATATTCCATAAGTCAAAATGGGCTTCTAATTATTGTTATATCTGACACCGTATGCGTGTAATGGTGGGAGATAAGGATAGTCAAAAGAAAGCTAGTAGTAGTCCCTCCTCTCCCCTTTACAAAAATTTATTAAGCATCAGTGGAATAATGTTATATGTCCTTTCTCCACCAGCTTAGGAAAAAATCAATAAGAAACGTCAAATATTTGTTGGTATATTAAGTTCAAAGATTTCAAAATGATTTGTCCTGGTTGGGGCTGCTAGCCCTTTTATTAATGAGGTACTTTGCTTGTTTGTGAGTATAATCTTCAAAAATATTGAATGAAGAAATGGATATTGGTGGGATTTTTTGGAAATGTTAATATGAATTTCATTAGGCACTTCTTTAGAATGGAGAACGAGGAAAGCTTTCCTGTGTTTTATTGTGAAAAAAATTATTTCTACCCTTAATTTATGACACATTTCATTATGAAACAGGTTGCAAAGGACGGAATTCCACTGCCACCTGATAGAACACTATGCCCTTTGTGCTCTCAAAAGCGTGCAAATCCATCAGTAATGGCTATTTCAGGATTTGTTTTTTGCTATACTTGTATATTTAAGTATGTCAATCAGGTGAGATTCTCAAACTCTGTCATTAGTGTGCTACTGCTTTCAGCTTCCGGATAAATTTCGTAAGAGCTTTATTTGAGCCCTTGACAATAAATACCTATGGTGCTTTTGTCTGCTAATTTTCTTCTTTGGATGGGCTTGAAGACGACTATCTCCCTCTAAAAGAATATGGATGCTTACTGAATTTCCTTTTTGAATAAGTGTGTAAAACTGCATTGTATAGAGAAGTTATTTATGTTGTTTCTTCGGGGAGAGAACAAAATGGAGTTTTCTTACAACAATCCAGTTTATAAGTTCTGTATTATGTTTTGTTCACTTTCCCAAGGCAATTCATCTTGCTTCATTCTCTTTTCCTATCTGTTAGGTACAGTCGTTTGGTGAGGCTTGAGGTGAGAAACTAGACGATTATTCACAAATTTCCAGGAATTAGAAATATTGATGTTTGTGTGCTGAACTCCATTGTTTGTTCGATCTAACCAGTTGTTTATGTTACCTAAAAGATTGAGGGTTAATTAATGCATGAGGTAATCTTAAGAAAATTAAGTTTTCCTTTCTAAATATGAGTTGATGCATTCAAATCCTTGAGGACATATTTCAATGCCTGTGAAAGAATAGACCCTAGTGATTTTCATCTTGATGCTTCTGACAGTTGTTAAATCTTGATTCTCTTCTGATTTTTATTTCGATACAGTGGTAGTTTTGCCTCTTCTTGTTCTGTAATTTTCATGTCCTATGTAATTATCTTCTGATTATAGAACCTTGACCAGTATCTTTCTTCTGTCTCTGTCCATCCACAGTACAAGCGTTGCCCGGTTACATTAATGCCTGCAACAGTGGACCAAATCAGGAGGCTTTTTCACGATATGTAAAACCTACTGTTTGACCTTGACTGGGATGCTTTTGCTCATTTGTCTGGAGTTTTTAGTATGATCAAACTCGAGTTCTGCCAGCCTCAGGTGCAAATTAAAGCACTGCATACAAAAGGATGGTGTTGAGAATGTTGATTTTAATTCTCTACTCTCTCCAATCACTCAAGCGAAATAAGTGTACTATCGATTTAGTTCTCACTCTAGACGGTTATACTTTGAAATTGATGAAATACTTAAAAACTTTTATCGCATGAAAAAATGCACGAAATACCATAGTAAAATACTCTTTTCTCATGGATTGTGTTGAACTAACTTTCCTCTCTTATGATCAAATAGAGAAATTGTTGTATTCACCTTTTCTACTTTACAAATTCTATGAAGCCGTGGTTAATTGTTTGTTTTGTTTTTCTTTTGTGCCGAGTGAGGCAATTTTGTCTGATATTGTTGTGACTTTTGAGTAGTGGTCTTTGTTGCAATGATCCTCGCAACCAGAACAGAGCGGATTATGAATTTGCACCTCATGCGTCTCTGTTCACGGTGATTTAACTTAATGAGAATTTTCAGTTGAGTTTCAAAAAACAAAAATGAAGTTTTATGAAGCCTTTTAGAGATTGCTGTTTGACCAGGTTGCAGAAAATAAACATTGAAATTTAAATGAAATTAATTTATGCCCTAAACTTGGGCAAATCCACTGCCACTGCAATTTCTAACCTTACATTTACTCACTCGGAATTCCTCTGCAACACGAGCTTCAGTCCACGTCGGTCACCCTCCATGTATGCTGCCAATACCTCCCTATTGTACCAATACCGGGAACATCATCCGACCCATGGCTCCAAGTTTGTTGAGAGGACAAAGATTCATCGAACTCTTTACAAGTGAGTTCCTCCAAAACTGGCCTATTTCCAAAGCTTTTCAAAGACTTGGACCTCTCAGAAGAATTCCCAACAGAACTTGGACTATTTTCATTCTTGAATGATTTTTCAGATTCAACTAACCAGCTCGAAAGACTAGTTTCAACAGCAATCTCATTATCAGATTCTAGTTTAGGCTGCTGAATTGATTGCTTAAGATCTGGCTCCAAATTTATATTCTCTTTTTCTTCTTCTCGATTCAATAATGTAGTACTTGCTGTTTTCACCTTCACAAATTTCTTTTGGCTAAGATTTTCTACAGAATTCAATACAGAATTAGCAGGTTTTAATGGACTAATTACCTCCTTTTCCCCCATTTCAGCAGCAGAAAAATGTTTTCTTGAATCTATTGATAAAGAAAACAGTGATTCAGAGAACTCTTCTTCTTGTATGAACCCACAATCACCTATTCCTCCATCAACATTCCCTTTGAAATGATCCAAAGAATTGCATTCTTCCAAGTCCTTCTGTGAGCTTTTTCCATCACAACAAGCACTCTTGAGGCTATGGCATGCTTTCTGCTCATTAGTAGACACGACTGGACAATACAATGAACAAGATTCAAACTTATTCAACATACCACTGTGGTTTGGAGGATATGACATAAGGCTTGATGCAGTCGAATCTGAATCGTAGTCTTTGCCTGTTTCTCTCTTTTTTTTAACTTTCTCGTTTCCGTTTTTCACCAAATTACTCTCAACAATGTTTGTTAGGACTTTATGGTTTGGAGTATATGATATAAGGCTTGACACAGTTGAATCTGAGCCGTCTTCTTCGCATTTCTCCTTCTCCCTTCCCACTTTCTCATTTTCATTTTTCACCAAATTACTCTCAAGAATGTTGGTCAGGCCATCCTTGTTCCAATCATTAAATGTAACTTTCTCACTGGCACTACTATTCAGCTCCTCTTCATTTATACCTCTGATTAAAGATGAGAAAATGAATCAAATAAATTAAAAAATATATATATATATATATAGCTGGCAAAATTTTAAGATAGGTTTTGCAAACAGTACTGTACTGCTATTTAGCTTATTTCTTTGGGTTTTGCTGTTCGGGCCCTAGACGAATAGGAGGCCGCATGCCTATTGGCTGGAGGTTTGGCGGACAGACCCCCAAGCCAATAGGGGGTGCCACTTGCGTCCTCTGGAGTGCCATTAGTTCAGTACTGTCGAGTTCATCGTATCAAACAAGCTACTAATGTACAAGAAAAATCAAGAAGGTCCAAAGCAAGTGATAACTTACACAGATTCTGAAATGGGATTTACACTCTCCCCTTCTTTTAGGGATTTAGCAGTTAAAAGCTTGACTGCTTCTTGAATTTCATGGCAGGGAGATAAAGACTGGATATATGAAAAAACAAAAAGAAAGAACTCTAAATATATGGTTCAATACGAACTGGATTTTCCATTATATTTACTAAGATTGAGTTCAGATTTTACCTGATTCTTGAGAGGAGCTTCACCACATGCCTGTAAGCGTTTTTTATGCTTCCAAGTTCCAAAACAGGCAGCAAAACATCCCATCTTGAGCCACAACTGAGTTCCCAAAAGTGGGGGTTTTCACTTTTCCAAAAGTTAGTGCAATCCTGTTTAAAAGAGATGGAGGGTTGGGGTGGGATTTTGAAATGGAGAGCGTGTGATGAGTCGGAGACTTTTGAAGAAGTTGAAAAAAATATGACCGTTGGCTGTTGGTTTAGCACAGAATTTAATGAAATTGAGATAATCTTGCTATATGTGAATATTCCTGTTTGCTATGAGTTAAAATCTAATTTAGCTCCTATTTGACATCCATTTTTGACAAAAAAATAAATTCTGGAATAGTGATTGATGGAAGAATATGTGGTTAAAAAATAATGAGAATTTTTGGATTTATGTGTAGTATTATTTTATTGATAGAATGTGTGGTTGAAATGAAGAAAAAGAAAAAAAATGAAAATGAGAATGAGAAAAAATGGGTGTCAAACACAGGCTTAATATCACATTAAAGTCAACAATTAATTTAATAACATATTTTATAAGATTTATAACTTTTCAATAGCAAATTTCATCAATTTTTATTAAAATTTATTAAAAATCTAATTTTAATTAACATCAAACAAGGGTTTAGTTTAATTGATAATTTCTTGTAACCCATATTCCATCAATGGAGAATATGGGGGCGGGCTAGCACGCAGAGGGTTGGCTTCCTTTAATTATGCTATTTGTACAATCATACTTGATAATTATGGTTGACAGTGTTGGTGTTGTAAAAATTTGGACAATTGATTTAAAAAATGGTTTTTGAAATGAATGAATGTGATGGTGTTAAATGTGAGTTGTCAACCAATAGTGTCAAACTATATTATACATATAGCATGATTTGGCTTCCTTTCGTATAAAAGTTTGTTTGGTACAAGTTATTTTACATGTAAAAAATCGTTTTGTACATCTGTTATGAGTAGCTTTTTACATATAGCTTTTGATAACAGAGCTTTTATTAAAAATTATTGATTATTTGATTCTGAAAATTACTTTAAATATTGAATTGACAGTTGATTTTGTTTAAACATTCGAAAAATGTCTAGTGTATGGAGGTTTTCTTCATAGATTTTTTACAAGTACTGTTGTGGCAGCATCTGTATAGTTCTTTTTTTTTTTTGGGAGGCCAATTTTCAACCAGAAATTGCCAAGTACCCTCCACGTGAATTCTGTGAACAAGCCTGTAGCAAGGTTCTAAACATTTTATTTATTTAATTGGATTAGAAGTTAAAAAGTTGAATTAAAGGTCTCGTAGAGCAAAAACTCTCATATCAGGACCCACCTCATTAAAAAAACCCCCCAAATGTTTAAGAAATATTCCAAGTGTACATAAAAATACACATAGGGGGCTGCCATTTGGCTATTATGTCAAATGCTATGTGTATTTTTATGTACACATAGCATTACTCAATGTTTAAACACCCCGCCCCCCCTCCCATCTCACATTTGCACTGCCAGGCCTTTTACAGGTTTGGCAGTGTAGCTCGGTCCTAAAAAGTTATGTTTTATATATTGATGTGTATTTTGTTTATTTTAGAGCTTCGTTAAGTCCCTAATTGAACTCCATTTTAATTTTAATGCATTTTTTTAATCACATATTTTTCAATAAAATAATATTACAGGTAAATTCAAATTTTTTCCTTCCTTTTTTACCACATTCTTCAAAAAATTACTATTCAAAAATATATTTTTCCCTAAAAACTGATCCCTCGTTGGATAACCATATTTAAAAACTCTTTTTTCTACTTATTCATTTTTAACCACACATTCACACAATAAAATATTTTGCACGTAAACTCAAAAATTTTTCCTACTTTTTTAACCACACATTCTNTTTTTTTTTTTTTTTTTTTTTTTAGAGAAATTCAAAATTTGGGTGTTCCTGACCCAACTTTTGAAAGTTGATTTTTTTTTTTTTTTTTAAGTACTCTTTGACTTCAGTGAAGAAACAAATATTTTAAATAAAAGAGCATTTAACCTTCAAGAAGTGTTTTTAGGTTAGTCACCGGCGGATTTAGCATTAGGTTTCATTGTCACTCAGGGATTTTCGTACCTTGCTTAAAATGCAAATAATATATTTGCTAAGTTTAATATTTGGTAAACAATTCAATTATTTTCTGAACTTAAATTACGATTTACCTTTTTGTAAAGATATAATTTATACACTTTGAAGTTTTCTCATTTATCTATGATCTTACTCCGACATTAAGTAATGAAATTATTAATAGAATAGAAGTTATGTGTTTATATGATTTTCTTATTTGTTCCTCGTATTTACTGATTTGTTAAACTACGAACATTACATATTTGGTTGTTTGATATCATATATTAATGTTATCTTATAATACATTTTAAATCATCGAGATAAATGTCATTTTTTATATTATTTTTTATTGTAATTTACATTTCACTTCATGCGTCCCACCACGCCTAAAAAAATTGTGACTCCACCCATCGGGCTAGATGCCTTTAACCATCGTTTCAACCTGATGGGCTGAAAAGCACGAGATGATATCGTTCGTCAACTCACTTCACACTCTTAACAATAAAATAGCAATTAAATGGGATGGTAACTTCCGTCGACTCGCTTCACACTCTTAACAATAAATGGTTTATGGGAGAAAAAAGTTAAGGAAAAGTTTGAAAGAGCTTATTTTTCTATGCATTATTTGCTCAAAAATCGATTGTAATACATGTACATAATGATTTACATATATGATGTGGTGGGATATGATTGGACATAATTTCTTCAACCAAATACAAAAAAAAACTACATCACTCTATTTTTTACATCTCATTTTCATGTAAAACATTGTTTAACTTTATTATGTACAAATACCATTATTTATTTATATATTGGGGATCATCCACGTCGACATCAAAAATAATTTTTTTTTTTTAAGTCAACGGTAGTTTTTTACTCACAAATTCAGATTTTTTTTTTTTTTCCATTTTTTGGGATTTTGGTTGTGTTCTGGAAGTCAACTTTTGTAGTAAACAGACAGTGTTTCTCGATCGTAGATCATGTTTTAATTTTCGGAGGTCCGACCTACCCCACATGCGCTTTCAGTTTGAGGTGGTTTGTTAGAGTGGTAGTTTGGATTTAAGTTTTTCAAACACCTTTTTTCATTGTGGAATAATCTTATTTATAGGCTTTAAAGGAGCATTTTTATCATCTTATTGAGTTAAAATTATCTTATTATTATATTAGAAGTCATAATTAAATCCCATTTTCGAGAATTGTTGATGTTTGTGCTTTGTGGCATTTGACCAATAGTTCATCGTGTGCACATACGAGCGTAGTGCACTGCAAAACTTACAATAAGTTTCTCGTCTAAGTCTGAGGGCAAATCGAGGCCTTTAGTCATGTTGATAATTGAGGCCTTCAATCATGTTTCTAGCCAATGTCAAAGTTCAACACGTTTCATTACTTAGGGGGGCCTCGATGGCCGAATCATCATTTCGCTCTATTGTGCTTTGGTGGTCAAGGCGCAAATGTTCAAAGACACATGGGTATGCAATGGAGTCCTTTGTGATTGGCGTGAAATCCAGTGGATCATAATTATTTCAACACGTAAGAATCCTCATTTGTTGACATGTAAACATGGAGTAAAATATGTTGACATGTGGGGATATGAGAAACACTTTATTGACATTATTATTAAAAGTTACTAATATGAGGACCATCCCCTCTATATATATATATATATATATATTTCTCTTTCTGTAAACTTTCAATTGTAACATTAATGATCTGAACAAATATATTTATATGGAAAAATAGAACGTTTAGATCTATTTTTGTTAAGGATTTTTAAATCAATCTATTTCTAACATTTGAAATTAATTTATATTATTTCTAAATGTATTGACACAACACTTTTCCCCTTTCCACTACGGTGAAGTGCAAATACTCAACTATGGTTGAACACGATGTATTACTTTGACAATTACAATCTTTATTTTTAAATTATGTGTATATATATTTTTTATCTAACTTGTATTTTTAATATAAAATTGATCTTTCACTCAAACAAATGAGTAACACTATATGTCATCATTGATACTTACAGCTTGTTTGACACTCATTATTTTTAAAGAATGTATTTTAGAATAATAGTTTGATAAAGAATGTGTGGTTAAAAAATAAGGAAATTTTTTGAATTTACATATAATATTATTTTATTAAAGAATGTGTGGTTGAAAAGAAAAGAGAGAAAAATTAATACGTAGCATTGTTCCAAACGAAAATATTTTATTACACAGAAATTGAAAATTCACTTGTCTCAAATTAAAAGTTATACACTACTCTATTTTGTCAAGTGACCTCGACTCTACTATGTAGCTTGCTGAGTGTAAGGACCATTTTCCTCTTTATATTGCATGATTTTACATCTACGATATAAAAAATTACCTACCATCTGACATACAGTAACTTTTGGTTCAAGACTAAGACCCATTGGAAACTGGTTTTCCATTCATGCCCTCATTTACAACGTGGCAACTTACAACATTGCCCCCGTAAGATGTGGTTAGTTACTAATACAAATGCATTTGAGGTTAGATTGGGAAAAATAATAATATTGCCTTAAAATACAACTTACCATTCAAGTGATAAAACTACATGTCACTCTTTAAAGGCCCACTGTACTATTGAAAACATTGTTTTCCATGCAAAACAATGTGTGTCAATCAAACGCCAAGTTACGTCGCATCCATTTAGAATCCTCCACAAGTTGGATTAATGGACGGCCCAATTTCTCATATTTTCACGGAGCTAATATAATATGTCGATGTCTCTAGGATATAAAAGTTATCGTTTAATAGCTATTTTGCTAGCCAACAAACCCATTCCTAGCAATTGGAAAAGTTGCACTATTGATCTTTATCGTTTAGAGCTTGTTTGACAACCATTTTGGTAGAAATAGACAGTTTTGAATAATTATTTTTAGGAGAATGTGTAGAAAAAAATTGGTATGTGTATAATATTTTATTGTGCGAATGTG